TTCATGGCAGAGACACTCTTCATCTGACTCTTCTAATGAGACTTGTCCAATATGGTTGTACCTGATTGGGGGATGCGCACGCACGCATGCACAGATACACACACATAGAGGTCAAGGTGGCAAACCTAATATTCTTCCCTATTTTTCCCTACAGCAGTTGAATGTAAATATCTAGCCCTGTGGTGGCAAACCTATGGCATGCGTGCCAAAGGTGGCACACAGAGCCCTCTCTGTGGGCACGCATGCCATCGCCAGCTGGTCTTCTGGTTTCTGGCACCAGCTGGTCTGGAGCACCGGAAAATAGCCTGAAAACGGCCCGTAAAACGGCCAAAAAACAGGCACGCAAGTGCCGGCCAGCTGGTCTTCGGGTTTCAGGAGCTCTGGCGCATGCAGATGTACTCACATGCACGTGCATTCCAGTTTGAGCATTTGGTGCCGAAAAGGTTCTTCATCACTGATCTAGGCCCTGTTAATGCTAAATAGTAGATATTTTTCATACTCCAGAAATACTTGATTACAGTTCAGTGATAAAATTTTACAGCAAGCCTCCTGTGCTATTGCCCTTTTAAGTTATTCCTCCAGGTGACAAGTAGAGCTAATATTTCAGGAGCTGCCTGCTGACTCAACAAAGAAATCTTTTCCTGACCTATTACTTAGATTGACACGATAGCCTGCTTATAGCATAGTGAATTTACACATACAATCAAGATATATACTAAACTGTTAGATCTAAAATTCAGGCAATTAACTTGGCTTCAGGTTGTAACACAGGGAAGGACATTTGGGCTAGAGTTTCAGCTGGAGATTTTGCTCAAAGAAATCTTTGGCAAAGCTTGGTTTTAAAAGTAAAGACCAATAATGAACAGAAGTTATCTATATTTCAAAAAGCAATGAATAACCCAGTATTAATTGGTGTGTCTCTTTGCCACATACTCTTGATAAGCATGTAATATTAAAATTTCCACATATAACAGTGCAATATGATCTTGTAAATGCATTGTCTCCAAACCCTAAACAATTAAAGGTAAGAGAAATCAAACTTTCAAAATATGCCCATAGAATATAGAAATTATGTTATTTGTGTAGGTTAGTCTTATGAACTTTCTGCTTAGCATTTATACTAGCTGAATTCATGATAGTTTCCTCTCCCAGGAGCAAAGTTAAAAGGAAAGAATGCATTGGATACAAAATCTAAGACAGAGGTACTCAGAGCCATTGCCATAGCAATGGCATCTTTACCTTAAAACTGGACATAATTTACAATAAAAGACTAACAAAAATAAAATGCTAATAGGGACTATACCAACAAAATAAAATGGGGAGTTAGCATATTAGGGAAAAGAAAGAGTGGCGGTGATTTTTTGGTCAATTAACCAAATCACCCAACCTTAAGTATAAGGCAAACTCGCTATCTTCTTCTGATGGCAATCAGCTGGGCAGAATCTAACAATTCTCACCTCACACTTTTAGTAGACTGCTAACACAATAAACAATGCAAAAATAATTTATTAAATTACTGACTGTATAGAAAAATAGCATATAATTCCAATTCAGAGAATGGAATATGATTCCATTTTTAAAATAACAAGCTTTTTACCACAGTATGAACAACCAAAGAGAGAAGCAACCTGGAATTAAGGAGAAACTTCCTAAAAGTGAGGACAATTAACCAGTGGAGGACAATTAACCAATGAGGACAATTAACCAGCGTGCTGGTTAATTGTCCTCCATCATTGGGTGCTCCAGTGGGTGCTCCATCACTGGATGTTAAGAAGAGTCTAGACCAGGGGTGTCAAACTTGATTTCATTGAAGGCCACAACAGGATTGTGTTTGACGTCAGGGGAGGGGTGTCTGGGTGGGTGTGCGGCCATGGTGGGTGTGGCCAGCTTGACGTCACTCCTGTCGGGTGTGTCTGTGGCGGCCCGAGCATTCTGCCAGTGAAAACGGGCTCCCGAGCTCTGTTTTTGGGTGCCACGGCCTCCTGCAACCCTCTACCAGTGAAAACGGAGCTCAGGAGGGCTGCTGTCCTCAGCTCCATTTTCACTGGCAGAGGGTTGCAGGAGGCCATGGCAGCCAAAAACAGAGCTTGGGAGCCTGTTTTTGCTGGCAGAAGCACCACAGGACGGTCCTTCACTGTTTCCAGGGTGGTGGGCCAGATCTAAGTACCCCACCGGCCAGATCCGGTCCCCGGGCCTTGAGTTTGACACCCCTGGTCTAGACAGTCATTTATCTAAAATGGTATAGGTTTTTCTGCTTGAGCAGGGGGCTGGACTAGAAGACCTCCAAGGTTCTTTGAAGCTCATTCTTTCCTGTCCTGTCCTGTCCTATCCTATCCTATCCTGTTCTAATTAAATTATATATAGCAACATAAACAGCATTTAAGTTTTCATTTTATAAAGTTACAGTTACATTATAGTAATGTTTTTGATGGTTACCATTGTTACAGTAGTTGTCAAATGTATGAAAATATAATTTGTGAAAACACAGCATTGTTCTTTTCTAGTTTCTACTAGAAAAACAAGATCTGTGATAAATGACAGTGTCATACATGGAGTATATTCCCCCCAGTAAGGCAAAACTGCAATTGTTTATTAGAAATCTTTCCAGCACAGTTAAGCTCATTTCTCTCAACACTTTTTAATCACAACTTTAACAGCAATTGAAGAAGAATTGTCATTACTCATCTTCACTGATTTTATTACATCCTCCTACATCTCAGGTTCAGCTCTACCCACAGAATGGAAACAATCAGGACTGCATTAACTGGCAGACATAACATCTCAGAATGCTGAATTCTTGATTTTAGTTAGCATTCTCCATCCACCCTGCTCTCCCTTTTGAGTCAAGAGTAGGCATTGGAGCCATGTCAACTCACACAATGTGAATCATTCCCTGTGCCAATATGCACCCAGAATTATCCATCAACTGATTGTTTAATTATCATGTAGATAATAGGGGTGGTTGGGGTGGAGACATCCTGCTGCTTTCCTGCTACAAATGTGGTAGGAATGCTGGAAGGGAGGCAGAGTATGAGAATCCAGCCATCGAACAGGGTTGTTTGAAGCTAAGAAAGCAATAAAGCTTCCGTGAAGAAGAAAAGATGATGGAAAGTAGCAACAGCAGGTAGGAGAAATAATGGTAGAAATCCAGTTTTAAGGGTTGAACACTTCAGAAGGTTCTTTAAATAAAAAAAAAAATACCCTGGCAGCACGGCGTTCCATTCAGATTCTGAAACCATAAAATGTTTGATGTAATCAGAGGACAGAAGGTTCTTTTGATGTTTGTCCCTGACAGATACTTTCTTCTCATTGCTTCTTATTAGCGTAATCCTTTTTTTTTTTTTTTTTTTAAATGGTCGTTGAAAGTAAATGACCCAGCAAATTGAAGTAAAGCAACTCTTGGGATTAAATGTTCATTGTTTAGATTTTTTGCTTAGAAGAAAAAGCATCAAATCAGAAATCACTAATCTCTTATTTTGAATAACCTTTGGGAGGGGATTGTCCATGTGACAAACCTATGGAAGTACTTTCTACTGTGCCACCTAAAAAAAGTATCTGCCTCACCATTACCTTTTAATTTCAGGCATTTTTATTCCCAATATAATTTTTTGATCAAGTTATAAATATGATCTCATTGTTGCAGCTATTTATTGAAAAAGACTTTCTCTATAACAAAAAAAATCTATGTTATCTTACAATTCTCAACAAATTAAGTAGATGGGCAGAAAGGCAAGATATAATTCAAAACAATAACAGTACTCCCAAATCTAATGAATTGTTAGTTTAGGCATTAACCTATATAGATATTAATACTAATATCAGGTCTGAACTCATCTTGGTGAAAAAGGAAATGCACAAATATGGTAGTACAAATAATTTTTTTTAAAAATAGCTAATTGGAGGAAATATATTTATAATGGAAAAATATAAAATGTAAGCCCCAACAATGGCAGTTTTTCTCCAGAAAACAGAGCTCTGCTCATTGTATTAATAATTTATTTATTTATTGGTTCGATTTATATGCCGCCCTTTCTCCGGAGACTCAGGGCGGCTTACAATGCGTTAAGCAGTAGCCTTCATACTTTTGTATATACCTGCTTAGTAGGGTTTTCGGCCCTCCCTAGGGAGTGTTCTTTTTTATACAAAGTCAGGTCCCCACAATCCGGGTCCTCATTTTACCTACCTCGAAAGGATGGAAAGCTGAGTCAACCTTGAGCCTGGTGAGATTTGAACTTGCAGTAATTGCAGGCAGCTGGTGCTACTTAACAGCACTTTAGTCTGCTGCGCCACCAAGGCTCTTTTTAATTACAACATCAAGACAATTAAAATAATTTTCAGATGAGATTGTGGAATCATTACAGCCACTATAGATAACATTATACTGGGTGGACCTGAGATTGTTGAACTGAATATTTTGAGGAATGGAATTATCTTGGCTATGAGTTTTACATATTTTAATGATTGTTTAAAATGCTTTTACATTCGTCTTCCTCGATTTTAAATTGTTACATTGGTTTTTGGCTTTTTTATATTTTTTAAATAGTTTGTGAACCACCCAGAATCATCCATCCATCGATGATTTTCCAAACACTGCTAATATTTCGCTCCTGTAATTGAATAGAATACTTCACAACATAACAGTACGGCTACTGAATATCAGGAATGGAGAGAATGATAAGAAAATTGAGACCAACAAATTTAAATAGTTTTCTGCTCTAAAGATTCATCTTGTATATATCTTTTAGCTCTGTAAAGAAATAGTTTCTAATGAATTCTAAGAAATATTTCAATATAAGCTCAAGACTCTTTGATATTTTTCATAGATTTATGTCCTATGCATATATCTCATATAGCTTTCATATCCCATGTTAAATGAAGTATGGGGTATCTATTTTTTACCACATGAAATGATTTGTATTGATCACAAGTATAATTGTGTAAATAAATTGTGTAAATAAAAGAACCCGGAATAAGTTTTTTTTTTTTAAAAATTCTATTACCTCTAAGTGATTCCGCCGCTCTGCAATAACACGTTCATCCTTGTTTCCAAATAGCTTTTTTGGAGGAAATTCTAGCATTGTCAGCTGCAATAGAGAACAGATGATGAATCAGCTGAGAAAAGTTTCTTAAACATTGAACAAAAATGCTAAACGTAAGATACATGTATTTATAGATGGTCTATTAAATCAGAGAGAGTTTGGATTGGTGGGTCCTCTCTTCACAAATCCAAGCAGCTTCAAAACAAGTCAAAAACAAATAACAGAGAAAAATCAGTAAATAAACCAGTAGCATTTATTACTTCAGTCTTTGCTCAATACTCTTCATAGAGTTTAGAAATTTAAATGCAAAAATAAGTTGAAATAGGTGTGTTTTGCAGTCTTTTCTAAAAGCAGGTATATATTTTATTCGATATGTAAGGTATTGGAGAAATAGCCAAAGAAAGTAAGATAAGAAAGCTGCCAATTTGGTACTTCCAACTTCAATACAGGTTCTTGTCCACTTCCTTTACTCTTAAGACAGCTCTAAAATATGAAATTATCTTGTCTTGATGAAAGATAAAACAGGGTCTAATCCAAGAAAATTATTATGGGATCTAATACAAACCAAATCAGATGATTTGTAAAATGTGTATTTTTCAAGTCATAAAGAGGTTGAACACTTGCACCTTGAGCTAATGAAGCAGACTGGTAGACAATGCTGACCTATAATGGGCTAAATAATTTCATGAATTCCAATAATTGCAAATTAACCCGCGTGGGGCTCATTGAAATTTCTAGGTCATTATTAAGCTCAGCCCATAAGAATGACAAAAGTACAGATCAGTACAGCAGAGCCTACATCATGAGCCCAGTTGCTAAAAAGAAAAGAAAAAAAAAGCACCTAGTAGCTACAGTTGAAGTTATATTGTATGCTTCCTTTTCAATTTAGGGCAAAATATGTGTTTTATTACCTACCACAGAGCCTTGTGGGAAAAGAAAGCTAAAGAAAAGCATATGTGCTTTCATATCTCATCATTTGATTTAGGAACACTATTTTCACAATAGCCACAAATAAAAATAGAACATAGTTTTAAATGTGATTTAGTTTGCCTTATGTCACTAGGTTTAGATTCCATGTTTTGATTTTTCCATGTCTGACATGGGAAGAAATCAGATGTAATCTTATTCTGTACACTGTGTCAAGATCTGCTTAATCTATGTTTGACCTAATAATGGTGGTGAGAGAGGAATGTCCTACTTTCAGATTTTTGAACAAGCTAACACAAAGCAGAAGTACTAGAACTCAAAAGTAAAAGAGGCAGATAAATCCATTTTTAAATTAGAAAAACACTACACATTTATTGATTTGGAAATTTGACAACTCTCTTATCTTTATTACTTGGAGCATTTCTTCAGTTACTTATTTGAAGACAAAACAATCTTTACCAAAATTTCTCCAGTATCCTCAAAGGGCAATATAAAGTTGCTATTAAAAATGTGAAAAACAAAACAACAGCATTGGCTATAACAACAATAATACTAACTAAAGTGGAAAAAATCAAGGCAAAGAACAATCTTCTTTAAAACTTTAACCCCAAACCCCTCTTATCCAGCCTATTTCAGGTTAATATATATTTCTGAAAAATAAAGTTAGTTATGGACAATTTACATTTGTTTAACTGAAAATATTTGAATTGTTATCAATTAATTTACACATATGAGTTATGCGTCTACACAGAGCTCATTTGGAATGTTCTACATCTGTAAAAAAATGATAGATGTTCCCCTCTGTGTATAGCACACTTAATTAAGTACAGCTCTGACTGTATTTGTGCTGTTTTCAAGACCAACATAGATGATATAGAAGAAGGGGAATGTCCAGCAAGTAAGGTAGGAGGGCAAAGACTGCATGAAATCACATATCATCAAAAACAAGGTCATCTTGAGAAATACTCAATACTGGAATTGGTGGAATAGATAGACTAGCTCAGCATCAATTTCTCTCAGCAGGACTTGTGAAAGCCACTGCTGAGGCATGTAATATCCATTTGTGCATCAGATGAGATATGACTAAGCTGATCGATCAGTGGCGCAGTGGTTTGAATACAGTATTGCAGGCAAACTCTACCCATAGCCTGGAGTTTGATTCTGACCAGCTCAAGGTTGACTCAGCCTTCCAAGGTTGGTAAAATGAGGACCCAGATTGTTGGCGGAAATATGCTGACAATGTAAAACAGTTGAAAGTGCTGTAAAGCACAATGAATCAGCATATAAGTCTAAGTGCTATTGCTATTTGACATCTGAATTGTAACAATAAATCAAATGGACTGAATATCAATGTGCTTTGATAGGTAAAACTGTAAAAAAAAAAACCACCTAATTTTTTTAATGCATCAGACCACTGTAGATTTGTCTGATACAAACGGAATTATTTGGATTTTGAGAAAACTCTAGAAAAAAATCATTCAAATTGCAATAGCTCTATCAATACTATACGACTGAGAATGGAAAGGCATATGAACTGAGGTTTGGTAATCTAAAATATCTCATAAATAAGGCTAAAGAAAAAAATGAAAAAAGAATAAAGAATCATATTAAAATAAATAAAACTTTAAAAAGTAAAAATTCTAGAATTGGCAGGCTCCAAGAACAGACATGCTATCACACTGGCAGATGAAAATAAATTGAAAAAAATCAACAGGAACAAACTACCAATACTTTATATTATTCATAAAGTAGGCCACTTGCCACTGTATTCTGTAAGTTTTGAAGGATTCCAGACAAGCTGTAAACACACCTGTAACCCATATGTATGATTACAGAGAAAATAACAAAGCAATTATGGCTTATTTATAGTAGTACCATTGTAGTTTATACTTCTAAATGTATTTTTTTCCAGTACTGAATTTACTGTACTACTCATTCCTGGTGTGGTCATTAATAGTCAGAGATGGAATTATTCTAGGTCAATGAATAATCACTGTGGTCTTGTACACAAGTTTACAATAAGAATATGTTTGTGTGGGACAGATCTGAACTGCTCTACTTTGGTTAGTGTAGGCCTATGATGGCGAACTTATGGCATGTGTGCCAAAGGTGGCACGCAGAGCCCTCTCTGTGGGCACACGTGCCATTGCCAGTTGCATTTCTGGTTTCTGGTGCACACATGCACGCTGGCCAGCTGGTCTTCGTGGGCGCCGGAAAACAGCCTGAAAACGACCAAAAAAACAGGCCATTTTTGGGCTGTTTTCGGCCTGAAAACGGCCCCAAAAATGGCTGGAAAATGGCCTGAAAACAGCCTGAAAATGGCTGGAAAATGGCCCAGAAAATGGCATGGAAAACGGCCCCCAAAACAACCTGAAAACAGCCCGAAAAACAGCCTGAAAATGGCCAAAAAAACAGTCATGCGCGTGCTGGCCAGTTGGTCTTCGGGTTTTAGGTGCTCTGGTGTTTGGAAAGACCAGCTGGCCAGCACATATGTGTGTGCCGGAAACCCAAAGAACAATTGGTCTTCGGGTTTCCGGCGCTCCGGCATGCGCACATGCACATGCATACACGTGCATTCCGGTTTCGGCACTCAGTGCCGAAAACGTTCACCATCACTGGTGTAGGCCATTGATTTTACTCGATACATTTTAATGACTGTCTATGTAAAAAGATTTTGCTGTGTTCTGCACCACATGAAGATTCAGTCACGAAACAGAGGTTGAAAATCTCATGAGAATTAGGCCTTAATTGGCTTGGATGTTTCTTCCCATATTGTTTCCTAATGTCAATCTCAACTATATGTGGAACCCTTCATCCAGTTTATTATATTCTCAAACAGAGTGAGGACACAAAAACAAATAAATGAACATTATTATTAGTAAATACTTTTATTTGCTATTTTCTCCAGCTTCAGTCAGGCATCTCATGGTCTTGTCAGCCTAATTAATTTTCTCAAGTCAACATGGATAAAATACACTTTCAGTTGCCTACATGGTAAAAATTACTTAGCGGATACAACACCTCAGACGATTCTCTTCCTATTAATGCAACAGAGTATCAGACTGAGAAAAGTAGGCAATTGTGTAGCCAACAAATACAAGGAATAACATCCAAACTACAGGTGGTTTCATTTATCATAGATCTAACAAAAGGCTCGTCCTTTTCCACTGAATCAGGCCACTCCCATGGTTCAGCTTTTCTATTCTTTGACAGGGGGCATTATTTTCCATTCCCTTTTCCTAATGACCCTGACTTCATTGTATTTTTAAAATTTTTATCCTGCCTTCATTACTTCGTAAGTATCTCAAGGCAGCGAACATACCCAATACTCCTTCCTCCTATTTTCTCTACAGCAACAACCCTGTGAGGTGAGGTGAGCTCAGAGAGAGAGAGATGACTGGCCCAAAGACATCTAAGGTGGAACCAGAACTCACAGTTTCCTGGTTACTAGACTAGCATCTTAACCACTACATCAAACTGGCTCAAATTAGACTTAATAATTGGAAGGGAATATTTGTAGCTCAGGATTGAACTGTAGGACCCCTGGTGCTCTCTGAGCTTAGTTGTTTTCTTGCAGACATTTCATTACCAAACTAGGAAGAATCATCAGTGCTAGGTTTGTTCTCATTTTATATACTAGCAGCTTGCCCTGTCACTGTTGGTGGAGGTAGTCTTGGTAGTTCTAGCACAGATGATATTATCTAGTTTGGTAATGAAATGTCTGCAAGAAAACAACCAAGCTCAGAGAGCACCAAGGATCCTGTAGACTTAATAATTCTGCTATTAATAATAGGCAAATAAGATTTACCTCTCAGCTCAAGAAGACTCTTAATAATTTTAAAGAAAGACAGTATGGTTAATTTCTGCAGCAATAATTGATTGGAATCCCATCCAATATTATATAGGCATTTGGGGGAGATCTAGGCAACATAATTTACTGCATTATTTTAACACCAGTCTGTCCAATGCTATTAAAGAAGCAAATTAAACTCAGCAGAAAATATTTATCTAGGTTAGGGGAATCTTTCATTCCCAAAAGTAATTTTTGGATCTAGCTGGATATAGCAATAAACTCTGGAAATATTAGGCATGAGAGGTAACACAGTATGATAAATTAC